CTATCTTGAACAAGAGTGCTGAAGGACGAGATTGTGTCAAGTTTCCCTATGTCAATGTCAGGCCGACATGAGCATATAGTATAGAACAGCTGAAATGAGGTAAAATGCAGACTAGCCTATCAAATTGGCCACTATCATTTAAGTTGTAGAAATCACAGGATTGGCTGTTCAACAAGAATCTACACAAAGGAAAGAAAATTGGGGTAAAGCACTCGGTTCGTGACACAGAACATCCTGAAAATCACAAAAAAATCATTCATTAGTAAAGTAAAAAAAAAAGAACTGAGTGTGAGAGAAAGAGGAGATAACATTTCCCAAATAAAATTTCATCAATATCCATCACACATTACACAAATAATTGAAGGCCTAATATTGCTGAGTTTATGGTTGCTCAAAACAATGTGCCAGCCACGTAATATGTTCATGCATCAGGAAGCATTATTCATCTTTGGTGATTTCTGTTCTTCTGTTAACCTTTGGTCAACTCCACTGACTTTGCTAGGAGGTTTAGAAATATTCCCCTGAAAATGACATTAAGGAGGAAAAGGAATCAAATTTCATTTTCTGTAAAATTTGATAAAGAAAATTTGAAGTAGAGAAGAGCAGGTCAGAGACGAAGCAAATACCAGCCTACTGCAATAAGGCTGTGAAAAATAACGCGAAACTGCAGTTGCACGTACTGGTGATTCACCCAGCCAACGACCGGCCAGAACTGTGTTTTTTTCATTTATCAAAGTTTATCAAAGTTTTATGACGATGAGTGGAATTTTTTTTTTTTTAATGTAACAAATCGCATTGATTGTAATGAGAAAGAGCAATACCGTCCATGATGTGAACTGCACTGCTGGGTATTCCTTTTTTAGTTTAGTTTTCACTTGCATCCAGGGTCTTCCTGCATTTCATGTTTCTAGTAAGATGATAAGCAGCAATGATCTAGTTTGTCATGCAACAGACAACTGAATCAATATATCGTTTCCTCATGCCTGTATGAAATTTTTTGTAAACCTAGCCAACGAATGCTTCTTTCTGAGCTAACTTCATTTACAATCTGACAGTTCTTTGACTTTACAAATTCATGCATAACTACTTAGAATTGAAAAACAGAACAAAGCTTACATTGGGATTATGATTCTTGAGTAGTGCAAGAAACCAGTTTATATGTTAATCCCCCCGTTTTGCTACAAATTCTTTTCCACGGATATGGACTTATAACTTCACCAATGTATGGACATAAGAGCTTAGAAAAGCCAACCCTAAGGTAATCAGATAGGATTGCGGCTTTGCAGAGTTGTGAGTCTAAGATGAGCCGATACAGACTTACAGTCAATAACCATCCCATAATAAATCATGAAAACCAAGTTGTTCCAAGGAGAAGCTGTCAACTGCTCCACTGCCACTGAAATAATTGGATTCAGCATTTTAGAATGGTTATTTAATTTAGTAGGCATTAAGGGTTACTGAAATATATAGAACATAATTAAGGTAGAATGAATTGAAAACAGCATTGTTAATATGATAGGAAGGTTACCAATCCACGATAGAAGAGTTATGAGCACAGAATTTTACAATAGAGCCACAACAGTAGTATACCTTCTTGGCAACTGTTGCGGTATCCTTCTTTCACTTGAACATTTTTTCCAGCATTAAATGCAGGAAATGCCCGAATGGTCCCAAATATCCAAACCCAAAAAGCTGCATTTAGCCACGTTAGGGTGGATGATTGTAAAAAGAGAAGAAAAAAAGGTAACAGTAGATACGCAAATGTGAATTAACATACCAGCAGTTGATATGCATACAACTCAGACTATTCACAACTATTTAATGTATTTAAAAACCCAACTTTGCCTTAGTTTATGCATGCTACCAGGGAATAACTATTTTGCTTTGCTATGGTCAATTCAACTACAATTGAAACTGAAAACCAAGACTGAAAGACCAGATTCATGGAATGAAATACAGGTAGATTTCATCATTTCAGTGTGCAAAATGCTTGTTAGATGCAATTCTTGGTATTTAACAGGAAGTGATCAAAGTTAAACAACAGGATAAAAAGTTCATAAGTAGCAAGAAATAAATGGCAGCGTTGTTTTACAGTTAAAAATCAGACAGGTGTATGATCACAACTGACAAAGGAGGAGTAATGCCTTCGTAGCACTTGAAATTGGTATAAAAATCTCACTACTCCACAAGTATTGTAAATCTGAGCAGATTTTGCAGTTGATCTTATTTAGTTTTGAAGCGGTCATCAGCTTCTCTACAGTTTGCTTATGTCTGTACAGGTATAGCGAACAAAGGCAAATTAGTGTAGAGAAACAAATACCAAAACTCCCCATCCCTCCCCATGGATTCGTGGTTTTTCAATCACAATTTCCTTTCTATGTTTGCAACAGTTCTTAACTATTTGATACACATCCACCAAGCAATATACTCTCCCATTTTCCAGAAATAATATAATTCAACTTCGAAACAGAAGAAACAATTTACAAACCAATGCAAAGTTGTGAATCCTCTATCACAGTATACCAGTCTACAACTAAGTGCAATTCCCTGAAACAAGTCGGCTTCATTGAACTGATAATCCAAACTTCCACCAAAGTCTCAGCTTTCCTATTATTTCCTATCAATGAATTTACTCCTGAGTCCTAACACATAAATTGCTAAGATCCCGATCAATGAAGTCACAGTATTCTACAACAAAAATCAAAGGGAAAAAGAAACTGAAATCGATAAAACTCATACTGATCACTCACAGTTCACTGGAAAACGAATTGAAGGTAACGAAATGAGAAAGAAGCTTATACCACTTTGAGCAAAATCCTTTTAATTTGAAGTTTCTCTATGCCACAGAGTTTCTGTACTACCATGTCACTGACAGCTGACAGCACCCCTGCTGTAATTGCCTGCATTACACAGAAATTTCTTACAAAATCCGATCATATTACAAATTAAAAAAGGCCATTCATTTACAAATTTGGATCTCAATTTTTCATAACACAATTGCAATCATCAAGAGGGTAGTTGACCTCAATTCCCCATCTTAATAAAAAACCCAAAAAATTGAAAAGACCCAAACTTTCATCACATTCTTCCCTCAATCAAATACCCCATATAAAATGAAGCCCAATTTTTTTTGAAAAAACTAGAAAAGATTCAAACTTCAATCACTTCCTTCCTCAATCAAAAACAAATCCAAAACAAACAAAAAAACACAAAACAAAGAAAGAGATTTGACATCAAATATGTAACTTACTTCTCAAGGGGTGCTGTTGAAGCTGTAACAAGTACTGTTGCAGTCCTCTCTCGCTACTGACCCCATTTTTTATATTACATTTACCTGTAAAATTGAGCAAGAAAAACTCAACCATCTGTACTCATCACTCTCACCCAACTTCCTCTCGTTAACTTGACCAGTGACTCGCTCTGAAAAATATCAGACAAAGAAATAAGAAAGTAACAAGCGGGAAGTTAGAGCTGTAGTAGGTGTCAGGTATAGCCTGATTGGGAGTGTCGTGTATTAAAATGATGAGTTTTTTATTTTTGAAAAATTATTTTTAATATTAATATATTAAAATAATTTAAAAATATAAAAAACATATTAAGTTTAAAAAATTAAAAAAATAATATTTAAAAAAAAACGTAAAAATAAAAAAGATATTAGTGTCTGATGCTTGGCTGAGAAAGGACTGCCAATCGCGGCATGAGCTCCAAGGGTTTGAGTCGTTTGACTAAATTCTTGACAGCATGGAAATATCAATATAAACTGCAACCTTATCGCAAATTGTTTACTTGGTCAACATGGAGATTTGCTAACCCCTCCAATTTTTTATGAACAAGAACTTGAAAATGTCAAATTATTGCGATTTAATTTTATTATAATAACTATAACTTTTTGTCTATCAGCATCTTGATTGTAAGAATTAAGATGTTCCTATATATATTACTTTGTCTATTTTTAGAGAATAAATAAAGATATTTTTTACAATGAAATCATAATTTAATTCGTACCGCAAAAAAAAATATTAAACAATCTTCTTTTTTTATTATTTGGTTTAGCAATCAGGTGGTAGTTATGAAAATTTATAATTATCAATACTTACAGCATTAAAAAAGAAAAAATATAAAGAAAAATTAAAAAAAATCACATTTAATCTATATATGAAAAAATATAAGAATTTATTATTCTTTCGTGTCTATCTTTCTTATAATTATGCAAATATTAGTGAAGTAAATTAAGTCTTCTTTTTTTTTTATTAAAAATATATTGTATGCATCAAGATTCAAGAATTCATATTTATATTTAAATTTGATTGAGGTTAAGGGTAAAGAAAAATCAAACTTTTTTCTTAAACTCTCTAGCATATATCAAATATATACCACTAATCTAATGCTAATTCTATGAGAAAATCCTTATAAACACAAATTCTAGTTTAACAGTTTTATCATCCCATGTCATTAACAATAAATTAATAATAGTGGAGCTCCATTATCAATCAAACTGTTCTGACTTGCATCAACATATATAGTCTGTGTAGAGAATTCAGCATCTTTTGTAGTTCCTCTGGGAGGATTTGTGGTTGGGCTTGTTTTACAAGTTTAGGCATTGTTCTCATGTTGATGATCTTCGTCCTTAATTCTATAATATGTGAAAAATTTTGTGACCTAAATATAATATATGGAAGGAGTATCTGGTATATCGGGTTACCTAGGAGTTTATAAATCTTGATCTATCAAAATTTATAGAAATTCATAAATTCACATCCATTGTGATAAATTAAATAACTTTTTTTTAGTCTAGTAAAAACACGCTATTGATAAGTATTTTAGTATGAGGTAAGATGATACATGTAATTATATATTATTTAGATTTATTTTGAACAAATCAATTATACATATTATCTAGGTCATGTCACTAAAAAAGCAGAATTGATCAGGTCATTATATCATCCCACTACTTGTTATATATAGACAAGAAGAATATTCTTGCATGAGCAATGATGTCAAGAAATTGAGAAAACATATATCATAACAACAGAATTGATCAATTTAAATGGTAATAACGTAGGTTGATCAAGTTTTACAATGTCTCGCCCAAGACCCAGTAAAGCTATATAGGCTGAAGGGTGAATTTTGAAGCAGACAAAGTTTTCAAGAGGGTGAATGGGTCCGGTCAGCTGCCATTATGCCTTGTCAACTATGTCATGCATGCAGCGGTCAATTGAACCCGTAAGACCTTTTCTTTTTCAGTTATGTTCGTTACTATAAAAACCTTCCATTGCCTCCCTCCATTTTCATCATCAACCTCTGAATTAATTCTCATCCTACATATCACAAACACATTAGAGAAGCCAGAGAAATTAGAAAGCCGATACATTTTCTCAAAAAAGAAAAGGGAAAATCCATATACATTAATATGGCCTCTTTACAAGCTTCAAGTTTTCTTGTCTCTTGTAGTTGTTCAACAAGAATCAAAGCTGCCATTTCTGTACCTAAGCTTCCAGGAATTCGTATTTCAGTTCCGAGAAATGCATTAAATGTAGTTGAGGATCTGAATTTAAGAGATGGGTTCACAAGTGCAATCCCAATAGAGAAGATTAATACTGCCACTAACACAAGGATTGATCAAGAACCAGCAACTACTAGAGCAACAGTCAAGCTTTATGCCATCTTGGAAGCCGTTGCAGATAGAGTAGAGATGCACAAAAACATTGGGGAGCAACGTGACAATTGGAACAAACTTCTTTTGGGTTCAATTAACATGATCATTCTTACAGCCGCAACCATGGCTGGTGTATCAGCAGGAGCTCCTCTTTTAGCTTTGAAGTTATCATCAACGCTTTTATTTTCTGCAGCTACTGGAATGTTACTGATCATGAACAAAATCCAACCTTCACAGCTTGCAGAAGAGCAAAGAAATGCCACAAGATTGTTCAAGCAACTTTATAGACAAATACAAACTACACTTGCTCTTCGTGATCCTACGGAGTTAGATGTGAAGGATGCCATGGAGAAAACTTTGGCTCTTGATAAAGCTTACCCTCTTCCTTTGTTAGGAAGCATGATTGAAAAGTTCCCTGAAAAGTTTGAGCCTGCTGTGTGGTGGCCTAAATCAAATGAGACCCAAGGTAGGAAACAGCCTAAAAAGGTGACTACACAAGGAAAGAATGGGTGGAGTGAAGATCTTGAAGAGGAGATGAGGGAGGTGATCGAAGTGATAAAGAAGAAAGACAGTGAAGATTATATGAGGCTTGGCAACTTGGCATTGAAGGTAAACAAAATCTTATCTATCTCAGGTCCACTACTCACTGGCATTGCAGCTGCTGGGTCTGCCTTTGTAGGCCATGGATCTTGGGCAGCAATTGTGGCAGTGACAGCAGGAGCATTAGCTAGCACGGTCAATACCTTCGAGCATGGTGGCCAGGTTGGTATGGTGGTTGAAATGTATAGAAACTGCGCTGGATTCTTTACACTTTTGGAAGAATCAATTGAATCTACAATTCAAGAAGGGGATTTGGAGAAAAGGGAAGGAGAAATGTTTGAAATGAATGTAGCATTGAAACTTGGAAGAAGCTTGTCACAGCTTAGAGAACTTGCTAGAAAATCTTCTTCTCGTGCTGATGGAACAGGCATAGATGAGTTTGCTAGCAAGCTATTTTGAAAGTAGAATTATTTTTTTTTGTCCATAACCAATCACTTTGTTTTATTATTTTCAAGACCAATTCCTTGTACAAAGTGGCTTCTCTCAGGCCTCTAACCTCAAACTTGTATGTAAGTCCAAGATTCTTACTATTGCATATAAAATATTGCAGAAATTGCGAATGGTTCCATTCATTTGTTGAGCTATACCAAGAAAATCTGATTTCCCACAGATTTCCAAAAATCTTAGTCCTTTCTACATTTTTGTCATAAGATCAAATGGACTGCCATATATAAGATCACTTCTACATGTGAGATAATTTGCAAGGTCAAAGAAAGAAAAGAAGAAATTGCTGATGTCTCTCCTGAGACCCAATAACTCTGACATTTTTATCAGAGTATTCTTCAGATTTCCAAAAATCGTAGTCCTTTCGACATTTTTATCATAAGATCAAGTGGACTGCCATTTATGAGATCACTTCTACATGTGAGATAATTTGTAAGGACATAACTTTGAAGAAGACGAGGCCTCCTGAGAAGATATTTAGGCTTAAGTAAGAAAACTTGAAATGTGGAAATAATTATAGTGATGTTGCATAATATAATATAGAAATATTTGCACATATATATCAACAATAAGACTGATCAGATCTCCAATCGGCTATTGAAATATTTACTGAAAGGATTGTTGAAGCATTGTAAAGATGTTGTACCCAAATTCAAGGGCAATGCCATCAAATTAGGATCAATATTGTCTCTTTTGGACAAGGCATTGTTGCTAACAATGTCCAAGTACCAAGTATATAAGAATTATTTTTTTGTTGGTTTCAAATTCTAATTTTGTAAGATTATTATTGGATATAATATCAGCAGTCTTTTATGCATACTCTAATCTTGCTTGGATCTTAGGATTCCATGCATGAAATTAAAAGTAACATTAATTAATACGGTTGATCATAAAATTTTGGTTTTTTTTTTTTTTTGTAGAATATGGTTTTTTCCTTCTTTAATACCCTTTACGTCTTAATCTTATTGACCCTTTTGACACTTCAAATATAACCATAGCAGTGTTTTTTTCTTTTGATGGCTGCGATTATCTTTAAGGTACGGGCATTGCTAGTTAATGTTTTGGCAAAAACAATGACTGATGAACTAGTAAAGAATTACATTTGATGGACAATATTCAAAGCTGCAAGGGAAAAATACTTCCTTTACTTGCTTACAATTGTGGCCAAAGGAATTGGAATTTGAGACCATAAGAATTACAAGATGGCAAACTGCGTTTTTCTGTTGACATGAAAAAATTCGGGATTGATATGGTGATTAAATTATTATTTTTTCTCTCTCTTTTTTTTATTCAAGGTACTTTGGCCGGAATCTAAAAGGATTTATTTAATATTTTCTAAATATATTAAGCTGAATTTAAGTGATGGGTTCACAAGTATAATCCCGTTACGAAAACGGCGCGAGACGAGATCATCAATATGAAGCAATCGAAATGATAACTCTAACAGCTACAACCATGGCTGGTGTAGCAGCAGGAGATCCCGTTGTGGCTTTGAAGTGATCTCCAACCTTTTTATTTTCTGCAGCAACCGGAATGTTACTTATCATGGACAAAATCCGACCTTCACAGCAGAAGAGCAAATAAATGCCACAAGATTGTTCAAGCAGCTTTATAGCCAAATACAAACTACACTTGCTCTTCGTGATCGTAAGGAGTTAGATGTGAAGGATGCCATGGAGAAAAATTTGGCTCTTAATAAGGCTTAACCTCTCCCTTTGTTAGGGAGCATGACTGAAAAGTTCCCTGAAAACTCTGAGCCAGCTATATGGTGGCCAAAATCAAATGTATCCCTAGGTAGAAAACACAAGGAAAGAGCGAATGGAGTGAAGATCTTGAAGAGGTGATAAAGACAAAAGACAGTGAAGATTATATTAGACAAGGCCACTTGGCATTGAAGGCAAACAAAATTTTAGCTATCTGTGGTCCATTACTCACTGGCACTGCAGCTTCTGGGTCAGCCTTTGTAGGCCATGGATCTTGGGCAGTAATTGTGGCAGTGACAGAAGGTGCATGAACTAGCTCCGTCAATACCTTCAAGCATGGCGGCCAAGCTGGTATGGTGGTTGAAATGAATTGAAACTGTGCTGCTTAAATGGAGAATTCTGTATGTTGTATTGATCAGAATATGGTAAATAAGGAAACAATTTATATAGAACCTATGTACTCTATTCTAAGTAAACAGATCATAAAATAAAATTAATTATATTTACATCCTATAATCATTCTCAATCAGATCGTGTGATTGCTTTTCCTTTAACAGGATTCTATATATACATTTTGGAAGAATCAATTGAATCTACAATTCAAGAAAGGGATTTGCAGAAAAGGGAAGAAGGAGGAATGTTTGAAATGAATGTGGCATTGAAGCTTCTCGCAGTTTAGAGATCGATCTTGCTAGAAAATCCTCTTCTTCTCATATGTAGATGGAAGCACCATAGATGAGTTTGCGGGCAAGATATCCTGAAAGTTGTTCATCACCAATTTCATTTTATTTTTCAAGAAACATGTCGTACGTACATCAATGTAAATATTTTTCATTTTGTTTTATTTTTACTATTGCTGCCTCATCACACGGCATCCATACGAAGAAAGAAACATATATTATATTAGAAAATTTGACTTCATGACTGTGAATAAATTTAAACTTATTTACAATAAATAGAATATTTTTAAAACTTGTTGGGATGTTGTCATTTAATATGTAACAACTTTTGTAGCTTATTTTATGATGTAGGATTATCATTGTTAAAAAAATACAATGGTAGTTGCACCAACCATTAATAAAAATGTTGCAACCCATGTGCTACCACCATTTATGCTATAATTTATAGTCTCTTGTTTACCATGAATTACTTGTAAATAGAGGAATTATTTGATAGCAAAATAAAAGAGAGTGTATAGCCAAAGATGTGAGATAGATAGCCAAAGAGGTGAGAAATATCGGAAAGAGTGGGCAATCAAAGACAATCAGTAGTAGCTGTCATTGTAGCACCGAGAAGAGAGAAATAGAGTGAGGTTGAGAGTTAACATAAAGTAGATGATTCCTCCCCTTATATTATTGTAAATCTTGTTCTCTATATATAATGAAATGGCTTCTCCCGTGAATGTAGGCAGTTTGTCGAACCACATTAAATATTGTATCAGTGTGCTTAGACTCTAATAGGCAATTATCAGAACATCACTGGTTTGGAATCTTCAACAATTGGTATTAGAGCATATGGTTTAAAGTAGTGTTTGATTTTGTTAAAAAATAAAAGTTGTCAAAATTATGTTTTGACCATACCACTGTGTAAAGGAGAAAAAGATGATCATATTGGTGAAAACGGTGTCAAAATCATACTTCGAACATGGCCCCACGCACCACTACACACCGACAAGATGGTTGCCTCCGCGTGCCACGAGTCTTCTTCGCCGATGATGAGCTAGCTTGACCCGAATACTAGATAACCCGACCTACATGGCTGACCTAAATAGAGGATGACATCATCATGATGTAAGCATGGCGTCAGCATGCACAATTAGCATGTCATGTCAACAACAAGTCAGCTGACATGTCAACACAGTTGTAAGTCTTGATGTGAGGCTTGAAAAATCATTCCAGGCCGAGCATGATTGATACGCTCGAAGGAGAATGTTATGTCCCAGAAACAAGCGTTAACACTCTTCAGATGAGATGTGGTAGATCATCTTGTTGAAATGATCCTTTGATGTCAGCAAAGATGTGCTTTGGTGACTCTGGTGACTGAAAGGTTTGGCGAGTACCTGTAAACTTAGTCACATATACTCTTGAAATGGGAAGTTTGAAAGAGCTGCAGAATGCAAGTTTGTACTGAAGAAGCAAGAGGACAATTGGTCATATAAATGTCAAAAGAGGTGATTGTTCGGATGTTGTCATTTAATGGGCAACAACTTTTGCAGCCTACCATAACAAATAGGGTTGCCATTGTCAAAAGGCTATAATAATAGTTGCACTAATCATTGACAAAAATGGTACAACCTATGTGCCGCCACCATTTGTGCCATGATTTATGACCTCTTATCTGCCATGAATTGTCTATAAATAGAGGTATTATTTAAGAGTAAAATGAAA